TCCCAAAGTGAGGTTTCTTAAGTGGTGGTGGTGCATGCTTTTAGTCCCAGCACTCAGGAGGCAGAGGCAGGCAGATCTCTGAGTTGGAGGCCAGCCGGGTCTATAAAGCAAGTTTGGGATAGCCTGGGCTATACAGAGAAGCCCTGTCTCAAAAACAAACAAACAAACAACAAAACAAAACAAAATGAACAAAGAAAAATCATTTCTCCTTCTTAAGTTACTGTCTCCAACATTTTCCTGTAGTGATGCAAAGCGACTAATACAGTATGCAACAGACTATCCCCCAACTGCAAGACCCTTTACAGATCACAGAATAGCTGGCACACACAGGAAGAAGAAAAGCATCTTAAGAACCTGATCTGTTCATTCAATTGACTTTTCTTGAACACATCACTTGTTTATGAAATATCACTTGTATAGTCAATATTTGTGAATGTTCACTATAAAGTACCCATATCTCTATGTACAAAATAGACTTAATTCCAAGAGCTATAAAGAGAAATAGCTGGGCCGTGGTAGTACATTCCTTTAATCCCAGCACTCGGGAGGCAGAGGCAGTGGATCTCTGTGAGTTCGAGGCCAGCCTAGTCCACAAGATCTAGTTCCAGGACTAGCTTCACAGCTATTGAGAAATCCTGTCTCAAAAAAAGAGGTCTAGGAAGAGTGACCAGGTAGGTGGCACACTGGAAACATCTCAAAAGGTAACAACTGAGTGGTACACCTAGAGAATTAGTTTTGGACAACTAATTTGGATCAGAGATTTTAAAATCTGCTATGCTGATGGACTCTGAGGGGTACATAAGAAACAGGATTAAAATGGAGGGTAACAGGGTTAGTTAGTAGTATATCTCAATGGGCGAGACACTTGCCCAGTGTGCTCAGAGTTTGATTCTCGGCAACTCCCTCCATACATGCGTGTACACACAAATTAAGACTGGGGGAAGCCAGGTCATTGTGTGACACGCCCTTAATCCCAGCACTCGGGAGGCAGAGGCAGGCGGATCTCTGGGAGTTCAAGGCTAGCCTGGTCTACAAGAGCTAGTTCCAGGACAGGCTCCAAAGCTACAGAGAAACCCTGTCTCGAAGTGGGGAAAAGACTAGGAGAATCATTTCGTACTGAGTCACAAGAAGAAATAGCACTCATTTTCTACCGATATACTAGAAGATGGAATCCTATATTCCCTTTCCTCAATGACAGATCAATCTAAATTGGCCCTTTTTTTGTTGATTTTTTGAGACAGGGTTTCTCTGTGGCTTTGGAGCCTGTCCTGGAACTAACTCTTGTAGACCAGGCTGGTCTTGAACTCACAGAGATCCGCCTGCCTCTGCCTCCCGAGTGCTGGGATTAAAGGCGTGTGCCACCACTGCCCAGCCCTAAAATGGCCTTCTAAAAAGATGAAATATGGATCCCATGATAGCAATCACAAGTGGAGAGGGCTGTAACCCCTCATATATGGTGACATTTTCAATGAGAAAACCAAAGACTGATATGTTAAGTCAGGTACAGTATAATCAGGGATAAGAAGCTTATATTTTCCTGCCAGTCAATACCACTCCATACTAAAATTTGTGTTTGATGACTTAGGAACAAAAAGCCAATCTGATCTAGTCATCCCCTTAAAACCAACTTCTTGCTCTATCGGCTATAATCATCAGTTGGGCATTTATCAAAAGAGTGGTTACAGTTGTAAATATGTGTATTTTGCTGCTCAAAACCATCTCAGTGGCTTTCTTGAGAAAGAACCATTCTCAGGACTATCAAAAAGCTTCAGTCTCCAAGACTTCGCAAACAGATCCCCAAATTTAATCATTAAGCAAACAGCTAGATGTGCTAGCTCACACCTGTAATCCCAGCATTAAGAAGGTCAAGGCAGTACTGAAGTCAGTCTGTGCTATACAAGTGAGTTCTAAGCCATCCTGGGCTACAGTGAGAGACCCTGTCTCCAAAAGCAAACAATCAAACAAGTGCAGCTGGTCTAGTTCCCTTTATGCCCACCAACACTGACTTCTATTCTGCCCTCCACATTCCCACTTAGTTACTTGCTTTCAGTTGAGGGGTTTTTTTCCTTTTTTTGTTTTGTTTTTTTTTTCTTTTTATTCTCTGTGCAACACTTCCGGCCATCCTAGAACTTGCTCTATAGACAAAGCTGGCCTCAAACTCAGCGATCTGCCTGCTCCACTTGTCTCCTGAGTACTGGGATTAAAGGCGAACACCACCACCACCACTGGCTCTGTTAAGTTTTAAAATCACTAATTTTGGAATTCACACAACCAAACCATATTATTGTAATTTATTCACCCCCATACTAGTTTCATGCAGGTAATATCTCTCACACGGAGGTCACAATAATAGCAGAAGACAAAGTATTAACTTCAAGGGCATTTTTGTTCATACCGCCAAGTCTTCACTTGGGCCTATGCAGGTGATATTAGCACTACCATTTTCTGAACATGTGTCCCATGAAGATTGATTATACATGTGTTTAGATCACTGATTACTTCACCTCCAGCCACGTTTCCCCGTGTCTTAAATCACCCTGCTGCTTTATCTCTACACAGCCCCTCTCCTAGCCTCAGGGAAGAGGATTGAGACTTGCTTCTGTCACCTCCACCCTCAGCTGTCCAGTAAATAACCTGTTTTGTAAAATGTAGAGGTTAAGGGATTGACTGGCTTCACTGTTGGTGGTGGTGGTGGTGGTTTAGCAGCATCCTCTAACTCTGGGCTCAAGTTTTCCAACAGCAGATTTTTAGGAGGCTAGTAAAACACTTCAAATAGCCTACATTTGAAAAGCTAGCCATTCAAAAAGCAGTTAGTTAATGTACCAATATCTAACAAGTTTAAACATCCAATTTTCTAGAACTTTTATTTACATGGAACTCTTACTATACCAATCTTCAGAGGCCAAATTAAAATTATATGCTTTCTGTTATTTTATAGCATATCAAATAAAAGTAATACTTTCTTTCCATTATTTTATAACATAGCACAAATGCATTATAAGGGAATAAACTGTTACTTAGGTGATCTGGAAATATAGGCCTTTTATCCAATTAAGTGAAGCAATACTAATAGTTCAGAAAACAATATCTGTAATCTTTACCACACTCACCTCATATTACTTGGTGATGGTACTAATAAGATGATAATGATAAAGTTACACACAAATATAAATAGTGATATATGTTCAGACACTGTAAACACCCTTCTCGGGCTTATGAAGAATCTATTTCTCAACAGATTCTTCTCTGAACACAGTCACAGACAGCTTAACATTTAAATAAAGTTACCTTTCGGGGTGGTTTTTAGAAGCATGTTTGAGGAGTGAGGATCTATTATTTATCTTTTAAACAAACATGAAGAAAGCAGAACTCTCTGCCTGGGTCTGATGTGCACAGAGGCCAACATAATCACCAAACATTATGCTCAGTGCTTTATATGCAGGGCTGCATTTCATTCTCACAAGAGCCTTAGAAACAGGAACCACTACTTCTACTTTATAATGAGATTGCCAATGGAATAAGGGACAGTGGGCCCAAGACAGCTGATCAGTGACTGGCCCAGTGAAAGTTTAACACAAAGACCAAGACTGCACAATCTCACCCTTTCACAAACTAAGTTCCTCAAGCAGTCAATCCTTCAATACCTATTTAGAGAGTCTATGATAATATGTGGTGGTAAAAAAAAAAACTTATTGAATTTAGAACAGTGAGATTCAACTATACAACTGTCTAGCACCATGCTATTCAATAGGGCAAGGCCAGTTCGGGCCTCCTCTCCTCTATTGCTTAGGGTCTTAGGCGGGGTCATCCTTGTGGATTCCCGGAAATCGTTTGTTTTCTTTTAAAAAAATAAAAATAAAAGATTATTACTATTCAGAATGTTAGAGAGTATTTTACACATGCATGCTTCTGCACATCTAAGCAAGAACAGAAACATCAAGATTTTTATACCTCCATTGTTAGGACTAGACCAACCCTTTCTCTGTAATTTATTTCTAAGATGTATAGTCAGTCAATCCTCATTATGTGAAGAGAATCAGTTCCAGGAACTTCTTCACAGAGATACCAAAATCTATAAATGGTGAAGTCCCTTATATAAAATGATAAGTGTATATAAAACCTATGTGTACCCTGTTGCATTTGAAAGTCTAGCTAAACTGGCTGTAATAGTTAATTCAAGGTAAATACTATGTAAGTAGTTGTTATACTGTATTGCTTAGGGAATAAGACAAGAAAAGAACTCTCCTACACTTTCAGTACATGTGCAATTGGTTTTTTTATTTTTGAGACTGCAACTTAATTACAACACCTCCCCCTTCCTTTTCCTCATTCCAAATATCCATCCCTACTCTCCTTCAAATTCATGGTCTCTGTTTTCACAGCCCTGAAATCGTACATACAAGTAACATTATATGAACCCAGAAGATTATATTTAGGAATATATATGTATGTGTGAATACATATATTCATGCGGATTTTTTTAAAGCTACATCTGAATCCAGACATGGAAAACACAGTTGTAAGAGCTGACGTTAGAGAAATTAATAGCTGATACTTTGGGAAACTTTAAAAATTTATGTGTATGGGTATTTTCCCTGCAACTGGGGCTACAGATGGTTGTGAGCCACCATGTGAATACTGGGAATCAAACCTGGGTCCTCTATGCAAGCAGCAAGTGCTTTTAACCACTGAGTCATCTCTCCAGCCCCTACTCTGCTTTATATATTCTAACTTGGAGTCAAGCTATCTTGTTTGTTTTTGAGGTACAGGAGAGAAGGTCTATAAATTAATTCCATTTCTTTTTTCTGATGTCTTGAGACAGAGTAGCTTTGGAGTCTGTCCTGGAACTAGGTCTGTAGACCAGATCTAACTACCATTCACTTCCTCCATCATCTCTTGATGCCACAGTCTCTCCACTGTAAAAAAGTCAATAACTGCTCTTAACTTTACAAGATTTACATAATATAGTAACACAATGATCAAGTCAAATGTCAAATTACCTGGGTCAGTGGCAGAGATAATTGCTCCAAAAAAGAGACAATCCGTGTAGTAAAATTTATCAGTGAGCTGGCCCACAATCTTCATGAGTTTCACCACCCCATACATAAGATTTCTGTAGGATGAGAGGTAAACAGTGTCAGGGGATCATTTTGCTGACATATAAACAGTAATAGAGTGATATTAGAACATTGCACATTAAGGGAGATTCAGGAAAGCATGGGCAGTTTCTATGGTTGGGCACTTACCAGGAACATAGGCAAATAGAACTTTGACACCAAACAATGGTTTATAGTTATTATCTTGCAGAAGTATCTAAATACTTTTTTTGTTATTGTTGCTTTTTTGTGCATGCATGGGGGTGGGGCACTGAGAGAAAGTCTCCAGTAGACTAATCTAGCCTTGACTTGCTACCTCATAGCAGAGGATGACCTTCAACTTTTGATCCACTCAAGGATGGCCCTGAACTTCTGATTCTCTTGCCTCTGCCTTTCAAGTGCTATAATTACAGATATAACCCACCACCACCCAAAGCTTTGTGCATTTTAGGTAAACTGCACTAACTGAATTACATCCCAATCCCTGAATATTTCACTCTTAAAAGTTGTTCTCATTAACAACTATATCATCTGTGAGGTATGATCTTTGATGAGTCATGAAGTTAAAAGATCTTAAGCAACTGGGTGATAGAGGAGAATAGAAGGTAGAGCCTCAAATAATGTATAATAAATGACTACAATGTAGACTTATAAGATAGTATAGCTCAAGTCATAAAAACTAAGGGGCTGGGTGAAGCTAGAGAGACTGATATTACTAATATCTCCATCAAGAAGTAGTGCAAAGAAGATAAAGACACAACCCTCTTGAAATGTCCTAGTAGATCACCAGTGTCCCCACTGATATATCTGGCCTCTTGTTCTCTTTGGGTGAGGCAGGCTAGCTATAGCCCCTCTCATATTGGGCAGAATGTGAGATGTTCTAACAGGGATCACCAAGTTCAATATTTCAGTTTGGCTGGAGCAAACTTCCTACATGGCAGATTATAATCGGAAAGAGTAATGAGTATTGAAAAATAACCTATCATGTATTACACATGTGTGTATGTATCTGTGTGCATGTACCAATAATAACAGCAAATGCAAGGTTTAAAAGAATAAAAATAACATAGAATTAACTCCATGTACACTAAGACCAAGGCCAACCATTTAATAAGATGTGTGATAGTAAAGACAATGTCACTGTCTTCCCTTATGTCTTTAGTGACTACAACAGTGGACTGGCTAGTGGTGAAAGAATTGCTTGCACTGTAGACTGGAATCCTTATGAGAAGAATTAACTAGAACTTAATGCTTGCCTAGTGTGTGCCCAGGTGTTGCTCCAATCAGTTCAACTTCAGTCCATGACCACTCCATAGAACAGATATGATTTGTTCTTCGCTGCCTATCAAAGGTTTTCACGTTCATACCTTTCAAAGATTTCTTAAAAGTAGACTTTCTTCTCCATTCCTTTTTAGTAAAAACCTACACCTACATGGTACATTTCTGTCTGCCAGCCTTACCACCATCTTGCTTCCCATCATCATTAATGTATGCCAGAGAACCTGTGTCCTTCAGTGATCTGTCACCCCATTAAGGAGATACTTCAAGACCATCCTTTTAAAGAATAAACTAGAAGGTCCTTGCCTTTTATCACCAGTTTTCCAACTAATTTTTTGTTTAAGTCCTTATTACATTTAGATTTGCTTGTACATTTTTAAAAATATCACCTTTCTATTCTAAGATTCCATCGAAACTACCAAATGGCATTTAGTCATTAAATCTCTTGAGACAGTTTCTCATCCACTGCTTGTTTTTGACGATCTTGGCAATTCTGAACACTGCTGGACAGAAAGTTTGCAGGGTACCCTCCAGTTGAGATTTGTCTGCCTTTTTTTCCAGATAAAGCTGATGTGTTTGGGGTAAATGATCAGGGAGGCGAAGCGCCCTTCTTCCTACAAATCTCAAGGATATACAATAACAACAATACAAATCTCAAGGATACACAGTAGCAACAATACAAATCTCAAGGATATACAATAACAACAATACAAATCTCAAGGACATACAATAACAACAATACAAATCTCAAGGATACACAGTAGCAACAATACAAATCTCAAGGATACACAATAACAACAATACAAATCTCAAGGATACACAATAACAACAATACAAATCTCAAGGATATACAATAACAACAATACAAATCTCAAGGACATACAATAACAACAATACAAATCTCAAGGATACACAATAACAACAATACAAATCTCAAGGATACACAATAACAACAATACAAATCTCAAGGATACACAGTAGCAACAATACAAATCTCAAGGATACACAATAACAACAATACAAATCTCAAGGATACACAGTAGCAACAATACAAATCTCAAGGATACACAATAACAACAATACAAATCTCAAGGATACACAATAACAACAATACAAATCTCAAGGATACACAATAACAACAATACAAATCTCAAGGATACACAATAACAACAATACAAATCTCAAGGATACACAATAACAACAATACAAATCTCAAGGATACACAATAACAACAATACAAATCTCAAGGATACACAATAACAACAAGGCTTGCAGTGTCTGCCATGCTCTCTATTTTCCCTACTTTCTGTAGCATCCTCATCAGAAGAAGCCACAACATGCAGCCCACACTCAAAGCTAGCTTGGAATGAAGAGGTGGGGATAGGGGGACTAGTTGAAGGGAATATATCTATAACACTTAACTACAATTTGGCATGTGAAATGTCTCTTCTTGTTTATTTCTTCATTAAATTATCTCTCTATGTATAGACACAGGAATATTTATTTTATATTCTGTATGATAATCTAATTGAAAGTTATTTATTTTGTTGTGTTTCAGATACTTATGGGTTCTGGCTATGGTGAGAACTTCAGGTTAGCTTTTGAGTTCCTTTGACATGACTTGTATCTTTATGGTTGTCTGTCCTTTGAGCGTTAGCTTACTTTCTGTATTGAAAGATGCTCCAACAGCATTGGGCTGAGCTCCCAAAGTCCAGTTGAAGAGTGGGAGAAGTGAGAATATGAACAAAGAGGTCAAGACCATTATGGGGACACCCACTGAAACAGCTTACCTGAGCTAATAATGAAGCCTTCCAACTCCAACCTGACAGTGAGGGAACCAGCATAGGACCAAACTAGGTCCTCTGAATGTGGTTGACAGTTTTATGGCTGGGGCAGACTATGGGGCCACTGGCAGTGAGGCCAGGATTTATCCCTACTGTTTGTTCTGGCTTTTTGGAACCTATTCTCTCTGGAGGGATACCTTGCTCAGCCTAGATATAGTGGGGAGGACCCTGGTTCTGCCTCAAATCAATGTGCTACACTCTGTTGACTCCACGTGGGAAGCCTTACCCTCTCTGAGAGGTGAATGGGGAGTAGAATGAGGGGTGGGGGTAAGGTGGAAGGAGCAGGAGGAGGGGAAGGAGTGGGAAATGGATTTGGCATGTAAACTGAGAAAAGACAGATTTTTAAAAATAAATTAACAGAAAAAAAAGATGCTCCATCTTCATGTAAATTTCATGCTCCTGCCCTAGACTAAGAGACACTATGTTTTTATCATAGAATGCTACAAGAAATTATGATCTAGTAATTTAATTTTAATTTTTCTTAATTTTTTTGTTTTATTGAGCTATATATTTTCTCTACTCCCCTCCTCTCCTCTCTTCCTCCTGCCACACTTCTACCCTCCCCATGATCCCCATGCTCCCAATTTACTCAGGAGATCTTGTCTTTTTCTACTTCCCATGTAGATTAGATCCATGTATGTTTCTCTTAGGATCCTAATTATTGTCTAGGTTCTCTGGGATTGTGAACTGTAGGCTGTTTTTTTTTTGCTTTATGTCTAAAAGTATGAGTGAGTACATATTTGTCTTTCTGGATCTTGGTTCCCTTACTCAATATGATGTTTTCTAGATCCATCCATTTATCCACAAATTTCAAAATGTCATTTTTTTCTGCTGTGTAGTACTCCATTGTGTGATGTGCCACATTTTCCTTATCCATTCTTCGGTCGATGGACATTTAGGTTGTTTACAGGTTCTGGCAATTACAACAAATGCTGCTATAAACATAGTTGAGCACATGTCCTTGTGGCACGATTGAGCATCGTTAGGATATATACCCAAAATGGTATTGCTGGGTCTGAGGAAGGTTGTTTTCTAATTTTCTGAGAAATTGCCACACTGACATCCAACGGGGCTGTACCAGCTTGCATTCCCACCAGCAATGCAGGAATGTTCCCTTTACCCCACAACCTCTCCAGCGTAAGTTGTCATCAGTGTTTTTGATCTTGGCCATTCTTACAGGTGTAAGAGGGAATCTCAGAGTTGTTTTGATTTGTATTTCTCTGATGGTTAAGGATGTTGAGCATCTTAATTTAAATTTAACGTCCACATGCAGCTAACAACTACCATATTACACAGGATAATGCTCTATACTAATTTCCATCTTCATACAATATTAAAATACTGCTTTCTACACTATATTGATGAATCTCATTCCTTTGGGTACTATGTTAGACTGGTTATACCACAAAGGAAGACTTACCCAATAATGAAGCAGGAAACCGCTGTCCCAAAGAAGGCGTAGGCCAGAATTGATCCAAGATTTCTGAAAAAGTGTCTCTGAATAAAACAAAAAAATAGGAATTATAGTAATTATTGGTAGCAAGCCAAATAAAAAATCAAACATATAAGCAAAAACTTTACATTAAAAGCCTCTAAAACCTAATATGTCACACGGTTTATACATCTAGCAATATCAGGAGTCACTCCTAAATAATGCTATTCAGTCTTAAACAGCGTGGTTTTAAAATATCCTTTGCACTATTGATCACTAACCAAGTAACCAAGAACCTGATGAATTTCAGACAAAACAATTCAGGCTAAAAATAATGAACTGAATTGAGTGTTTATATATGTAAACCAATTTTTTTGACTGGACAAAAGCCATCTTATTTCACAGTTCTGCCAAGTACTCCCTACTTTAGTGGGATCTTAGAGGGTCATTAAAGATAAAAGTCTGAAACAAATAAATGAAAAAGTATCATCTGAGAAACTTTCTACTTAATTTGATGGCAGAAAGCAGACTCCGAAATATACGCTCATTGGACTCGAGATATCACCTTATATTCATCTGGTTTACTCTTTGGAGCCTGAAAAAGATGAACAACAGAGTTGGGAGTGGATAAATGAGAATGGTAATGAATTTGATTCAAGATAGCCATGTTTGCTATAGTAAAAACTTATAATCAATGTTAAGATGCAGTGATTATTCAGAAAGTTGCAAAATTACAATATCCCTCTGATGGGGTTCTGCATATTCAAAAGTTAGCTTCAAAATGAACACCACAAACACATATGCACACATGCTCACTTCTTACAATTCATCAGGTCCATGGGGTCTCCTGATGAAGAGCAGGTTATACCTGTTTGTAAGATCTTTTAAAAACAGGCAAAGGCAATTTCTATTTGAGATTCAGAAGTACTTAATAGGAATAGACAAGCAAAAATCCTCCAAACACCCACAATTAAACAAAGATTATCAAAATGTTAGCCATTATTTTTTATTGTTTTTATTGAGCTCTACATTTTTCTCTGCTCCTCTCCTTTCCTTTCCCCTCCCCTTCAACTCTCTCCCATGGTCCCTATGCTCCCAATTTGCTCAGGACATCTTGTCTTTTTCTACTTCCCATGTACATTAGATCTATGTTTGTCTCTTTTAGGGTCCTCATTGTTGTCTAGGTTCTTTGGGATTGTGAATTGTAGGCTGGTTTTCTTTGCTTTATGTCTAAAAGCCACTTATGAGTGAGTACATATGGTATTTGTCTTTCTGAATCTGGGTTACCTCACTCAATATGATATTTTCTAGATCCATCCATTTGCCCACAAATTTCAAGATGTCTTGGTTTCTTCTTCTGCTGTGTAAGTACTCCACTGTGTAAATGTACCACAGTTTCCTTATCCATTCTTCAGTCACGGGGCATTTAGGTAGTTTCCAAGTTGTGGCTATGACAAACAATGCTGTTTTTGTTGTTGTTGTTGTTGTTGTTGTTGTTGTTTTTTGAGACAGGGTTTCTCTGTGGCTTTGGAGCCTGTCCTAGAACTAGCTTTTGTAGACCAGGCTGGCCTTGAACTCACAGAGATCTGCCTGCCTCTGCCTCCCGAGTGCTGGGATTAAAGGTGTGCGCCACCACCCCCCGCCCCCGGCTAACAATGCTGCCTTGAAAATAGTTGAGCACATGTCCTTGTGGTATGATTGAACATCTTTTGGGTATATACCCAGAAGTGGTATTGCTGGGTCTTGAGAAAGGTTGTTTCCTAATTTTCTGATAAATCGTCACACTGACATCCAAAGGGGTTGTACCAGCTTGCATTCCCACCAGCAATGCAGGAGTGTTCCCTTTCCCCACAACCTCTCCAGCATAAATTGTCATCAGTGTTTTTTATCGTGGCCACTCTTACAGGTGTAAGATGGAATCTCAAGAGTTCTCTTGATTTGCATTTCTCTGATGACTAAGGATGCTAAACATTTCCTTAAGTGTCTTTCAGCCATTTTAGATTCATCTGTTGAGAGTTCTCTGTTTTGGTCTGTACTCCACTTTTTATTGGATTATTTGTTCTTTGGATGACCAATTTCTTGAGTTCTTTGTATATTTTGGAGATCAGACCTCTGTCCTATGTGGGGTTGGCGAAGATTTTTTCCCATTCTGTAGGCTGCCATTTTGTCTTATTGACCTTGTCCTTTGCTTTACAGAAACGTCTCAGTTTCAGTAGGCCCCATTTATTGTTTCTCCCAAATTTATTGTTTGTGCTACTGGGGTTATATTTAGGTAGTGATCTCCTATGCCAATGTGTTCAAGCATACTTACCACTTTCTCTTCTGTGAGGTTCAGTGTGGTTGGCTTTATGTTGAAGTACTTGATCCATTTGGACTTGAATTTTGTGCTTGGTGATAGATATGGATCTATTTTCATTCTTCTACATGTTGATATCCAGTTATGCCAGCACCATTTGTTGAAGATGCTTTCTTTCTTCCATTTGATATTTTGTTTTACTTCTTTGTCAAAAACCAGGTATTCATAGGTGTATGGATTGATATCTGGATCTTCTACTTGGTTTCATTTGTCCTCCTGTCTGTTTTTATGCCAATACCAGGCTGTTTTTTTGTGTAGGAGGTCCTTCTATATTTGTATTGCTTCCATTGGTTGAATAAAGAGACTGCCTTGGCCTTTTGATAGGACAACCTTTAGGTGGACGGAAGAGACAGAACAGAATGCTGGGAAGAAAGGAAGTGTGGCAGACACCATGAACCTCTGGCCTGAGATGGACGTAGGTTAGAATCTTGCCAGTAAGCCACAATCACGTGGTGATACACAGATTTAATAGAAATGGGTTAATCAAGATGTGAGAGTTAGCCAATAACAGGATAGAGCTAATGGGCCAGGCAGTAATTTAATTAATACAATTTCCATGTGATTATTTCAGGGGCTAAGCTAGCCGGGAGGCAGGATGCAGCCCGATGCTCATCCTACCACATGTTTCCAGTACTGTAGCTCTGTAGTAGAGTTTGAAGTCAGGGATTATAATGCCTCCAGAAGTTCCTTTATCGTATGGGATTGTTTTGGCTATCCGTGATTTTGGGGGTGGTGTTGTTTTTGTTGTTGCTGTTTGTTGTTGTTTTGTTGTAATAATAAATCTAGTCTGTTGAGCAGGCATCCTCTTCTAAAGGGAATTGGGAAGTGTTCCGTCTTCTATTTTCTGAAAGAGGTTCTGCAGGGACAGTTTTATTTCTTCCTTAAATGCTTGGTAGAGTCCACTAATGAAACCAGGTAGGTTTGTAGTAGGTTTTTAATTATTAATTCAGTTAATTGTTTCATATAGAATTTTCCATATTATCTCTGGTAAGTTTTATTAATTTGAGAATTTGTTCATTTCACTTGTCAAATTTATTAGTGCAAGGGCTAGGAAGATACCACATAAAACAAAAGGGTGTGATAGCTCAGGTGTAAAGTCTCTTGCTTTGTTAGTACAAGTACCTGAATTTGAATCTCTAGAGCACATACGAAAAATCTGTGTCTTCCTGTAGCCCCAGCATTGGGAGGTGGAAGACAGGTAGCTCATGAGATCTTGCTGATCAGCCACCCTAGCCAAATAGTGAGTTTCTGGTTCCATGAAAAAAAAATCGTATCTCAATGCAACAAGACAGAGAACAACAAAAGGAAACATTTGACACCCTCCTCTGGCCTCTGCATGCAAGCAAACAAGTACATACTGTAATGATTTCAGCTACATAAGGCTGATACTTCCAAGTTCTAGAGGTCGTGCAAGTACAGACAAGCCCTCAGGCAAAAGAAGTGCCTAATGGCCCCAAGGGATGTTAAAGGGCCCCCTGCAAGATCCACATATGACTCAGCTAAGCCCTTGCATGCACGTGTGAGCCCTGTCGTACAATGTACGTAGTCACGTCAACCCCCTGTGCGCATGTGCTAGGCAGCTTTTAAAAAGCTGGACTCACCATCTTTCTCTCTCTGCACACGGATTCACCAGGCCTGTGCACGCCCCCTCTAATAAACTCATAAACAATTTGTTGTGTGTTTTGTGGTTCCTTCTCACTCGCACCAGGTAATTTCACTCATGTGTATACACAACACAAACGCACACACACAGAGACAAAGACAGACAGACACAGACAGACACACAAGAAAAAACCAAGGTGGGCATGATGGTGCACACTTGTGATCCCGGTACTGAGAAGGTTGAAAAAAGCAGGTCCCTGGAACTCCCTAACCAGACAGTCTAGTCTACTTACAGAGTTTCAGGCCAATAAAAGACCCTGTCTCAAAAATAATGAGGTGTACAGTGCCTGAATCATACCGAGATTAACTCCTCCCTCCCCATACAATTTCCTGGCACAAAACTGTTCTGAGTACTCCTTTATTATCAGCTGAATGTCGGAATATTCTATAGTGATACCCTCTCTTATGTTCCTAATACAGTTTTCCCAATTAATCTATCCAGAGTTTCCTCATTTAGAAGTTATTTTCAGGTTCATAAAGATGTTATGTTTACTGTCAGCCAAGATCTCTCTTCTCTGGACCTGGAAGGTTTGTCTCAAGTCTTCCTTTAGAGTTGAAATGGGCTATTACCCTAGGAAGGCCTTTGGGGAGGTAATCTTCACACAATACTCCCACAATGAGAAAGAGAGAGGGGGGATGGAGGGAGAGAGGGATGGGGGAAGAGAGAAAGAAAGATCTACCTATGTTTTGTAAACATACTTGGTTTTTCAAATAAACAGTAGTTTAGGTTTAAGATGCTGTCAAGTACAGTGATCCTCAATAAGGGGGATAGTCAAGTTCTTTAAAACTTTTTTTTACTTATGAACTAACAATGGATTTACTGAAGTTGCAAAGACAGTATAGAAAGGGTTGGTGTACCCTTCATCCACTTTCCTACACTGATGGTAACATATGCAACTATAGGAAAGTATCTAAAACCAGGAAACTATCATTAGTACAATATCAGTATAATTTTATCAGATGTGCAGATTGTATAACTACTGCCACAGTCAAGATACAGAACTGACCTGGAGCATCACACTCATCTAGCATGTATGAAAGGCTCTGCACCCCATCCTTGGACATACAAGAAATATTCCATGACTACAAAAATATCCCTTGTGATCTCTCTCCCCAAACTGTACTTTACCATCATCCCTAATCCCAGGCAACCACAAATTTGTTCTGTAGTTCTATAATTCTGTCATTCCTGTAATGCTACATAAAGTAATACAGCATATAACCTTGAATGTGGATTTTCTGACTCAGCAGAATGCCTTATAAATCTATCCAGATTATACAGCAAACATTTTTTCCATGTGATCGCTGAAGGTTTTTCTATGGTATGGATCTACTACAGTTTAATTAACCATTACCCACAGGAAGGCATTTTAGGTTTTTTTTTTTGGTTTTGTATTACAAATAAGATAGTATGAAGAATGCGGCATAAATTTTTGTGTGAATGTAAGTTTACTTTCTCTTCAAGAAATCCTCAGCAGTGAAGCTGTTCCCTTAAGACAACTTGGACTTCAGTTTTACAAGAAACTATCACCTTGCTTGCCAAAGTGGCTATATCATGTTACATTCCTGGTGGTATGAAAGAGCTCTAGATTTTAAAACAGATGAATCACAGATGATGAAGCCACCTATGATCTCTGAGTGGGTACAGAGCACAGAAATCTGAGAGTTTAGGGGAAACACTAGTGTCAATTGACACTGAGACTCTTAAGAAATTAATGGCAAAATGGTCATACCTTCTTTAAACTGTATCCAGCATGGAAAATAATTGGAGGCAGCAGAATGTTGAAAAATACCTCTGGATCAAATGTTACCTGAAATTTTAAAAAGAAAAAAAGTCAAAATTTAGATTAAGATAAACTGAAAATATTTATTAAATATTGAAAGCCATTGACTAAAGTGCCTGATTAAAACAAAAGCCACCAATGTGTTAAATCATTACAGCAGTGAAGCCACGATTTCCCTCTATCTCTCTCTAGATCTTCCTCTCTATCTCTCCCTCCCCCAGCACTTCTGAATAAGATTCCAGTGTTCTATCTTAATACATATTAAGTCCTAACAGTTTGAGGCAATTTCAGGAACTCACAGAAAGCTGCTGCCAATGTTTTTCAACAGAAAAGAAAAACATCTTGATTTTTATCACATATTCATGAAGGTTTAATTGCAATTGAGTCTTCATTAACTTTCAGACTATTAATGCGCTCTTTTCTAGATACAATTCTACTACATTTAAGTCTCTTTTGAGGAAACAGTCTTCTGAAATCCTTCATGTGGCCTAGACAAAGTTATCAGTGAGGTCAGTAGCTTCCTGATCATCAACAGAAGTTCGGTAACTCTACAGAGACTGAAATCAGTTGTTGATATAAGGAATTCACACTGAAACATCTACAGCGCTAATCATAGTACAGCCAAAGAAACTAAGCATTTCCAAACATGCTAACCTTTTTAGGAGGGAGAAAGGGTAGGCTAAATATTTAAAATAATTAACTGAAATAAAAGTCAATTAATGTATCCACATGAATAAATCTTTTAATATTGATTTCTTGTCTATCCTGGAAATCACTTACATGAGAGGCTTATAATCTTTTTTGAAGCATTTTTGCTACTCCATAATCAAATGAAAAACAATGTTAAAGCTAGGCATAGTGAAGAATGCCTATAATTCTAGCACTCCGGAGGCTGAGGCAGGAAGACTGATTTTGAGATCAGCCTGAGCTACATTTTAAGAGGCTTTCTCAAAAGAAAAAACTGGATTTTTTAAAATTGAAAAACAGTGCTTGCACTTAAATTCTCCCTAAAACAAGCCTGTCTTCCTTTGAAGATTAGGTAAGTCTTTGGCATCAGTCACTAATAAGTTCAAGCAGTCAAATATTTTCAGACTATGTAAAGAAAGCCATGAAGAATTAAGAATTACAGTTCAGAATACTGACTAAGCTAAAAGGGAAATTAATATTATTTTAAGAAAGATAGCCTCCTTTCTAAGGCACAGCAAGGTTAAGAGAAAACAAGGCAAGCGGGATGTACAAACATGTTGCATAAGCAGCAGCCCGTATCTACAGATCCTAGCTAGTTAAGGTCAGAAAGCTGAAGGGACAAAGTTACAATCTGGCTCTTCCTTCTCCTCATCCTGACACAGAAGCTACCCTAGAAAACAGTGAGCCAGGAATGTGACTGAAGTTCCAGCAGTTAGAAAGGGTTTTTCTCCTAAAGGTCAAGATGAAGCCAGGGAATCTGGAACTTTGTCCCAGACAGCCTGGTACCAGCTCACCTTCCGCAGCATGTCATTCTGCTCCACGTTATTGATCTTGCCAGGGCTGATTTCTCCTTTCAAAGTGTATTCAAAGAACTTGCCACTGACATTCACTAATAAGGTGCTAAAGGCTCTATCTTCCTGAGTACATCTGAGTGACTTGTCATGTCCGCTGGTAGCAGGGGTGCCATACCTCAGGATCACTCCAACAATGAGCCCTGAAAAAGAATCAGTCATTTGCAGAGGTGCAGCTGTGCAGCTGAGTTAACCCTGCCCAGTCTTCTGAATAATTCAGAAAAGTCATTTTCCCTTTTGGTTTCTCTCTTTCAGATACTGGCCAGAGTGTCAGTATGCTTTCTCCGGTATTCTTTTTTACTCTGAAGCTACCTGCCTTTTGCCATGTGCTTGCTTGCCCAACTTCCATGCCTAACTTAAAAAGACATAGCTTTCTCTCTTCCTCTTCTCCATCTACATCCTCTGGGCAGATGCTGAGTGAGATTTCCAGATGGCCTATTCTAGAGTTTTCAACACTAATAAAAACATTGTTGGACTCTGAAAAGGCCAGTCATGTGGCAGAACAGAAAGTATGGAAGTGATACCTCTGTTGATTCAAGTCCCTCAGTCACGAGGAGTAAACAGTTTAGTGCTTGATATGACCCCATGAACAGAATTAATACCTGCTTGTGCTTCATGTCGTATTGCTGAGGCTTTTAGTAGAGAAGGATGAGGTGGAGAAACAGTGTAACATTTTCAGAATGAGGAAGAACTACTGAGCCTTTTTTCCCCAGGGCATCCCTCAAACCAGCCCTGCTGTCATCTGCTAGGGTGGACCAAGCCACTGGAATTTTTAGTTGCTATAAATGGAACATGCTTTGCCACACACCAGAGGTAGTGGAGGGGAAACAAAATGGTTTTTCTTATATCATTCCAAGCACTGAATATCATGGAGAAAGTAACTATACCCACTAGGAGGCTAAATACTGTAGTGTAAACTTAAGCAGTCATGATCCAGGAGCCAGGGAGCTGCTTCTTGAGGCTACACATTTAAAATGATGTTCTTAATAATTTCATCCTGACCAGCTGTGAAATAATCTTAGAGGTATAAGAAAAGGCAGACTTAATCTTAAAAAGTATATATATCATTACCAAAAGAGATATCTAAAGAAAACAAAGGTTCCATAATGCAGATGCTTCAAGTTGTCTGGTGAACAGGCAGTGTCAGTCTTCTTTTTTTTCTGGGTTTTTCTTTTATTTTATCCAATAATTATTATTAAGCAAAACCAATCCCTTGGTAATGGACTTCTTTTTTTGTTTTGTTTTGTTTTGTGATTTTTTTAATTTTTATTTTTCTTTATTGAAAAAAAAATTTCCGCCTCCTCCCAGCCTCCCACTCTTCTCCCCTCCCCCCACTCCTCTTCCCCTCCCCCCACTCCTCTCCCCCTCCCTCTCCAGTCTGAAGAGCAGTCAGGGTTCCCTGCCCTGTGGAAAGTCCAAAGTCCTCCCCGCTCCATCCAGGTCTAGGAAGGTGAACATCCAAACTGGCTAGGCTCCCACAAAGCCAGAATATGTAGTAGGATCAAAACCCAGTGCCATTGTCCTTGGCTTCTCATCAGCCCTCATTGTTCACCATGTTCAGAGAGTCCAGTTTTATCCCATGCTTTTTCAGTCACAGTCCAGCTGGCCTTGGTGAGCTCCCAATAGATCAGCCCCACTGTCTCAGTGGGTGGGTGCTCCCCTCGTGGTCCCGACTTCTTTGCTCATGTTCTCCCTCCTGCTCCTCATTGGGACCTTGGGAGCTCAGTCCAGTGCTCCAGTGTGGGTCTCTGTCTCTATCTCCATCCATCGCCAGATGAAGGTTCTATGGTGATATGCAAGATACTCAGCAGTATGGCTATAGGATAGGGTCATTTCAGGTTCCCTATCCTCAGCTGCCCCAGGAACTAACTGGGGACCTGGCCTTGGGCACCTGGGAGCCCCTCTAGGTCCAAGTCTCTTGCCAACCCTAAGATGGCTCCCTTAATTAAGATATGTGCTTCCCTGCTCCCCTACCTAACCTTCCTTTATCCCAATCATCCCATTTCCCCAAGTTCTCCCCATCCTACCCTTCTCACTTTTCTCTCCCCATCTCCCCTTACCCCCATCCCACCCCACCCCCAAGATCCCAATTTTTTGCCCGGCAATCTTGTCTACTTCCCATACCAGGAGGATAGCTATATGTTTTTCTTTGGGTTCACCTTCTTATTTAGTTTCTTTAGGATATCAAATTATAGACTCACTGACCTTTATTTATGGCTAGAACCCAATTATGAGTGAGTACATCCCATGTTCATCTTTTTGGGTCTGGGTTACCTCACTCAGGATAGTATTTTCTATTTCCATCCATTTGCATGCAAAGTTCGAGAAGTCATTGTTTTTTACCACTGAGTAGTACTCTAGCGTGTATATATTCCACACTTTCTTCATCCATTCTTCCATTGAAGGACATCTAGGTTGTTTCCAGGTTCTGGCTATTACAAACAATGCTGCTATGAACATAGTTGAGCATATACTTTTGTTGTATAATCGGGCATCTCTTGGGTATATTCCCAAGAGTGGTATTGCTGGGTCCTGGGGTAGGTTGATCCCGAATTCCCTGAGAAACCGAAACACCGATTTCCAAAGTGGTTGCACAAGTTTGCATTCCCACCAGCAATGGATGAGGGTACCCCTTCCTCCACAACCTCTCCAGCAAAGGCTATCATTGGAGTTTTTGATTTTAGCCATTCTGACAGGTGTAAGATGGTATCTTAAAGTTGTCTTGATTTGCATTTCCCTGATCGCTAAGGAAGTTGAGCATGACCTTAAGTGTCTTTTGGCCATTTGAACTTCTTCTGTTGAGAATTCTCTGTTCAGATTAGATGAATTTCCATTCATTTCTTCACATCCGGTGATAAATCAGATGATGGCAGAGATGGCTAGCCAGAAGTTGCTCATCCTTGGGAGCATGTTCTCAGCTGGCACTGTCATGGCTACCTTGCTTCAGGCTTTCCGGGTTTCTGTGCTGGGAAGTAAAGGTGTGAGCTACCTACAGAAAGGTGGCTGTTGCTCACATGTTTTTATTTCCTTGATCTTCATTCCTGTTCTAGCAAGGAAGGTAGGATAAATTGTCAGTTTCTATCAATTCTCCCTCATAGGAGGCTTTGAGAACTCTGATAACTACTTAGGGCTCCTATGAATGGAGCAGGAAGGAAGTATGTCATATGTAGTAGTCAGTCCTAGTGTTTCCTAGTCAGTCCTCGGTGCAGTGAACCATCCCTTCGCTGTGAAACTCTGTCCTCTAGGTGTGATATGGAAATCGTCATCTTGAAATCAGAGCAGCTGTGATTACTCATACAAGGCCCTCACAAGATTAGGTCAAAAATAAGTTACTTTCTGGAAAGGAAGGGCTCTTCATCACCGGTGCAGCTGTCTCTAAGTTGCCCATGCTTATATAGGCAAGCCTTTCATTCAGGATCCTATAAATAACCCCAATTAAACTCACTGGCTCACTAAGCTACACCAGTCGAATTATTTCTTTGGCTTTTATCAGAGCCCTATCTAAAGTGAAGAAAAGTCACTAGCCCCATTTACATTATTCTGCTCATTCTTCTGATGATTGTGTGGAAGGTCCCATGGCACAGATGATATCTCTCATGGTTACCATGTGTTATTTACATCCCAACATTAGAACCACACCGGGTCCTGTATCATTGCTGCCTGCTGCCTGTGCACCCTTTTCTCCTTTAACAACACACAACTCCACAAATGTTCTATCTTCTTTGTTGTAAGGATGTTCCTTGGGAGTTATTCTTCTCGGTGACAATCTAGTGAACAAGTTACATCTATTAGTATCCTGTGGGTGAAACCATATATCTGTGTGTGTGAGAGGGGGCGGGAGGGAGAGAGAGGGAGAAAGGGGAGAATGAATGAGAATACAGGAGATATGCATGGAGATCAGAGAACAACTTTAGGTGTCAGTCCTTGCCTTCTACTTTGTTTGAGATGGGACCTTTCTTTTTGTTGCTGCATTCACCAGGCTAGTTGGCCTGTAAGCTTCTGGGAAACCTGTTCTCTCCACCGCTCATCTCTAGAAGCAATGGGATTACAGATATACCACCACGATCAGCTTTCATGTGGGTTCTGGGGATTTGAACTTAGATCTTCACACTTGCTTTGCCCACTGAGCCACATCCCAGAAGCATATGCTTCTTATATAGAACCATCTTATGGTTTTTAAAGCTCCATTACAGTGACAGTTTGTGCCCATGGTGCCAGGCTGAGTGTCTCAGTCTTATTACTCATAGTTGAGGTTGATAATGACTAAAATTAGCTGTAACAACAGTGCTTCCTTCCAAGGCAGCTGGCAGCACTGCGGGCAGGAGGGTGGGGACTGCTGGGTGCTCTCAGGGCTTTACTGTCCAGATCTTTAGTATCTTTTAGTCTCATTTCAGTCCTTGGTTAGGCAGTCATGTTCTGATGACGTTTTACTTGACAAAGCAGTTGACAGCTCTTCAGCATTTATCATGATACACAATGGTCTATATTGCCTTAAAAAGTGACCTGTCACAGCCAAAAAGATGTATTAGTCATCTCTGCAGTGAGCAGAGAACAAACAGTACCTTTCATGCTGGAAATCAATGCTGACTGGGAGCTCCCATAAGGGGCTGAGCTTCAAAGGAGGAAGATGGAAGTGGCCAGTAGAATGTACAGCAAGGAAAAGAACTATCCTTAAAGGAGAAATTGAGGAGCAGCAAAATTATGCCAAGTGTTATGAGCTTCTGCTTCGAGTGGAAGCCTTTTTGGGTCAATAGGGTGATATTTTGCAATAAAAAGTACAACCCAGACAACCTCCAAAAAAAAAAAAGAATATATTTATGTAACAATCAAACAGCAGATGCCCAATAAACACTTTTAATCAGCTGAATTTGAATAAAGATTGTCAGTAAAAATCAAAAAAAAAAAACTAAGCTAACAATGATGTGAATGTCCCTGTAGTGTAAGACTAGGTTAATATCCCAAAGAGTAGGATTAAGATTGTGTTGATAGGAATACTACACATCCCTTCTCTATCCTATACTTAGTGCAGTCTTTGGAAAGAAAGAAATTAGTTGCTGTTGTTTAAAAAAAAAAAGTAGCCTGTCACACAGTTTATACTAAACAGGTTCATAAAGAAAAGAAAAACCAAAACATAGTATTTACA